TTTTTCCTTTATTTTGTAATTTTTTTTTTTTTTTTTTTTACACATAGAAATTGCTATTATTCTATTGATATAATTTATAAAAATTAAAATATAATTAAAAGGAATAAATATGTTGTCAACTATATTTAAAAAAATTAAATAAATAATAGTAATATATAAAAAATAATATACAATTAAAGTTTCACAAACAATTTTTTTTTTAAAATAATGTAAATAATACTAAATAAGTAGAAATATTTTATTATATGAAATTATATATAAAAAAATAAAGGTATACTTTTATTTAACATTTATTTATATTCCCTTAATCATTTATATGATTACAATACTATTCATAAATAAAAATAATTAAATATATTTTATTAATTTTTTTTCTATAAAGTAAAAAAGATAAAATATATATATATATATATATATATTAATTTTTATTAATATACTATTTGCTTTTATTTACATAAGAAAAAAACTAAGAACAGTTGATTTTTGCATGACCAAATATAATTTTTTTTATTTTTAGTATTTTAATAATAATGATATATATATATATTATTTTGAAAAAATTTTTAAACTTAAATGTGTAACAATATATATATATATAATGTATTTATTTGATATAATCTTAACAAAATTGCAATAAATTATAGTGAGAAAACATATAAAAAAAAAAAAATAAAAAGGATAAGAAAACTTACAAATATTTAATAAGATAATATGGAGGAATTAAAAAAAAAAATAGGATACAATAATAAATTATTTTACAAAATTATACATAATGTATTTAAAAAAAAATATATTTTATTTTTATAAAAAAAACAAATTTGCTTTTTATTTAGGTAGTACATGGTTTTTATTAATAAATAGTAGTTTGTTGTTTAGTTTAAAATATTACAAAAATTTCGAAAGTCGCCATCCTTATATTTTTGATGCAATAAATATTTTAAAATTATATTTAGATTTTTCAAATAAAGATTGTCTTAAATTACTAAAAAAAAAAGGTAACATAGACTCTTCTAATAAAAGAGCTAAATGTGAATTACTTTTTTCATTTAATAATGAAAAAATATATCTTAACATAAATGCTATCAATATAAAAAAAAAAAAAGATTCTAATAGTTACGATGATGAAAATAAAGATATTTCGTTATATTTAGAAAATCCGTTTTTAATAAAAAAGGAAATAAAAAATTGTATTGCAAAAATAAAATCATTTTTATTTTCTTTTATTGCAAGTGATGATAATGAAAAAAATAATTTAAAAAATGAAGATAGAATATTTAATGAGAACAGGGATTTAGCAAATAAAAAAGAAGAAATTCATAATATAATTAGAAATGGATCTACGTGGAAAATAGATAATATAATACTGGTTAAAAAAAAAATTGATCAAAATGATGAAAGATCTAAATTATTTTTTATTAATAATTTTTTTAACAATTTTTTTAATTATTCTTATCAAATAGATGCTATATATGGTAATCCCATAGATAATTCTTATTTTTATAAATATGACAATAAGAAGAAAACTTTTAATAATACTCAAAAAAATTTAATGAAAGTTATGTTATTTGCATTTTTCTTTTCATCCATTTTAGCAATTAAAAGAATATTTATATATAAAAATTCTTATTCTAGTTTAAATTTTGTTAAACATTTTGTATGTAATAATAAAAATCTTCACAATATTTTAGGTAATAATCAAATTCATATTTTAAGTATATCTGGTATACATGAGAAAAATTATCTTAACAGCAAAATTTTTTTTCAAGCAAAAGAAAAGCAAGGAGTTATACAAATGACTGCAACAAGAAATGGTGTAGATAAACATTTTTCTCTTTTACATGCTAAATTATTATATAATTATGAAATTATAGAATTAAAAAAAAATTAATAAAAAAAAAAAAAATTCTCAATATTGGTTTACATATTTTTATGAAGATTTATAATATTTAAAAATTCATCTACTTTTTTAGAGTAAATTTTTATAAATATTATCTTAACCGAAGAATAAACATAAAAAGGGAGATATAAAATTTTCTCAAAAATATTAAGAAATGTTATATAAATTTTACGAAAAAATATATAAAAAGAAAATTAAAAAAAAAAAAAAAAAAAAAAAAAAAAAAAAAAAAAT